GAGAGCGAGAGAGAGAGAGAGAGAGAGAGAGAGAGAGAGAGAGAGAGAGAGAAGAAAGAGAGAGAGAGAGAAGGGGAGGGGGAGATGCCCTTAGATCTGGATCCTTTGAACTCTACCTTTCAGAACCTAGAAGTCTTTGCCCCTTTACTCTTCATTTCTGAGCACCTTAGTGGAACCCTTAGCCACCTTTTGGCTTCTTGGCACTCATCTATTATACTTTCTGCCCCAAGGAACTGACCTCTACCATACTTAAGGGCCCTTAACTCTTTCGTTCCCAAAGCCCTAGGGAAAGCCCATTTTCTTCTCCAGAACTTGATGTCATATTCTCCCTTCCCGTCTACTTTCCCAGTCCCCGGACTCAAGGTCCCGTTAACCCCTCCCTTCCCCGAGCTCCTGAGCCCAGGTGCCCACAGGCGCTGCACCTCCCTGCCCATCCGTCAGTCCTCAGCCAGTGATGGAGGAGCGGCGCGAGAGAAGGAGGGAGCGGCCAGTCTGGGAAAGGCAGGAAGGGAGAGGCAGGAAGGGGGACGTGGAGTCGGAAAGGAGGCGCCGGCAGAGACCAGAAGCCAGAAGCCAGAAGACAGGAGGCAGGGATGGAGAGATGCCGGGAGTGCGAGGGGGGTGCAGGATGGGGAAGCGGGTCCAGGTGGTGGTGAAGGACTAGGGACAAGGGGACCAGGGCCCCACTCACCCAGGTCCTCCATGACGGGGCGCGGGCAGACCGCGCGGGGCGAGCAGGGCGGGGGCCGTGTCCGGTGGGGGCGGGGGGCGGGGGACGTCCGGGATCTGGAGGCCCGGTCCTGACCATGTAAGGAAGCCGGGACCCGCTGGGTTAGGGCTGGGGCGAGAGGGGGGGGTGCACAATGAACGGGAGAACCCGGCGTGGGGGCCTGTAAGGGAGGGAGGGCCCCGGCCCACCCAGGCCCAGCCCGCCGGCCTGCCGCGGAGGCAGCCACACCCCAGCCTTGGCCTCAGCTGCAGGGAGTCCCAGGCGGCCAGAGCCTGGTAAGAAAAGTGGCTCTTCCCGACCAAGCCCGGGATCCTCTGCCCACTGAGACTCTTAGACACAGACTGAGGCCCCCAAGCCAACACCCCACCTCCCAAAGTTAGCACCCTGAGTCCTAGACAGAGCCCTTTCCCATCCAGGCTGTTCCTGGGAGACTGCTCCAGATAAAATTTTTGCATTGGAGGCAGGAGTGATGTTCTAAGGATCAGTCAGATCCCAGGTTCAGAGACCTTCCCTTAGACACTCTGACAGTGACATAAACAGATCCCAAAAGGCATACATACTGGACACAAAGAACTCTCCCAGAGACAGAGAGACCCCATGAACCCTCCCACAGACTCTAAGCTATAGAGTTGGAAACAGACATACAGACACAGATAAACAGAAACCAGGCCCAAGCCCCATGAAGACTCAGGGAGAACTCCCAGGCAGCCAGACCCAGCCAGCCTTTTCCAACACTGAGGTGACCCAGACTGGTCCCCAAAGAGCCTTTTCCCAATATACTGATGAACGGAGAAGAAAGCAAGACAAAGACCCCAGCCACAAAAGAACAAGAGGCCTTCCCTGGACAGAGACCCTGAGAAATCAAGGTGGAAACGAGACACTCTGGAGCTGGGTATGGACAGACACAACAGTGCTGCAGCCACTGGACTGTGGGTTTCAACCCAGACCTGAGTCCAGGTATGAGCCCTGGAATTGGCAGGGGGGTGAGGGTCTCAACCCAGCAGCAAATCAGAACAGCCTGGGAGATTTTTAAAAAGAGTGATACCCAAGGCATCCTCCCCTCAGTCCAAGTCAGTCAGAAAGGGCCCAGTCATCAGTATTTTTAAAAAGCTTTCTGGGTGTTTCTAAAGCACAGCCTGAGAACAGAGGCCTGGACACTCACAGAGACACAGAGGTGGCAAGTGGCAACGCTGGCTCCACAGGAGCTAACAGGAAGGCCCCATCCAGGCACCCTCCTCACAGTCAGGCTGCCACCTATGGTCAGTGATCTGGGAGCCAGGTCATGGAGACCCTGCCTGGGCGACAAAAACCATGAGCCCTTCCCTCACCTGAATGTCAGCCTAGGGCTCAGGCTGTCTGAGCATGAGTAAGGGCCTCACGGACTTGAAGAACACAGGTCTTCTGTTAGAAAAGCAGCAGGAGGACACTTGACCCAAAACACGAAAACAGATCCAGAGATTAAAGGCCCAAGACAAGAGGAAGAGCACTGAGGAAATAGTAATGTCAAGGCCTCGGATGTATATCCCCACATTTACATTCCCTCAGCACAACCCTCTTAGCCCTGACCAAGGTCTGCATCCAGCTGGGTGGCTGCTTGAGCAATGAAGTAGCGTGAGCAGGAAGCAGGCCTCCCCTGGGGCCCAAAACCACATCCTTGGGAGAAGCCTGGGAACTCCTCCATATTCCAGGGCTCCAGGAATCAGCCCATACTTACTTATTAAACTTCTAAACCAAGGGTGTACTCTACTGAGACAGACCTGGACTAGACCCTACTTGATGGGTGAGGGGGTGGAGGGACTTCTACAGGAAAGTAAGCAGAGACACCACACAACAGGGGTAGCCCATCTCCAAAGTTTTTAATTCCAACTCCAGAAAGCCGGGCCAGGCCAGGTGTCTGGGGCTCTGGGCTGTTCTTCATCTTGTGGGCCCCATGCCCAGCCCCTGGCCTTAGCTTCTCACTCCTGAGTCTTCAGACCATCAACCAGGGTTGAGGTCCATCCTCTCACAGGTCCTTACCGGTGACTCCTTCTGCTCAGCCTCCTCCTGTGCCACTCTGAGGGGGACCTCCTTCATAGCCAACTCATCCTCGGGTCTCCTCCCAGGGGACATCAACAGTCTAGGCTAGGACCCTTGCCCTCCAGTTCTAACCCCATCACCACAGCCAGTAAAGCCTCGGTCAGGGGCCCTGCCTCTTCGCCTGCTGCCTCCACAAGCCCCACTAGGGCCAGGGCTCGCTTCCGTGGGCACTGCCCTGGCCCCAGTGTCCAGCGAGCACAGTGGGCAGCCAGCCGGGGCCGGCCCAGGCGGAATACCTCACCCACGGACTCTGGGCCACCCTGAGGTCCCAGGTGGATGCGGCCCACGGCTTCTTCCAGCTCCTCCTCCAGCCCAGGCAGCAGGAAACGGCCAGCAGCCTCCAGGGCCTCCTCAGCCTCTGAGCCCAGCAGGGGCTGGCCTGGCGGAGGAACAGGCCCCAGGGCAGCCCCACAGCCCCGGCAGCCATGCAAGTGATGCAGGATGGGCCAGGCTGCACTGGGTGACAGGCCTCGAAGTGGCACTAAATCCATCTCAGCTTCGGCAAAGCTGCCAGCTAGCAGGGCCCGGAAAAAGGGGGAGGCGGTGGCAGAGGTGGCTCGCTGGGCAGGGAGCCGGAGGCCTGAGTCCAGTAGGAAGTGGAGGTCAGGGGCTGGGACAGGGGCTGGGCCCAGCAGAGGTTCATAGAGGCAAGGGGAGGGTGGGTCTAGGTCCAAGGGAATTGCAGGTAGGAGGGCTGGGCTCACGGTGGGAGACACCAGGCCTTGGAGGCAGGACAGGGAGTCCGCAGCAAAGAAGAGGAAGAGCGGATGCGGAGCTGGCCGAGTGAGTGCCGAGAGGAGGAGACGGAGGCCGCCCTGGTCCAGAAGTAGCCGGCGCCACAGAGAAGGCTTCCTTTAGGGAGAAGAGAGAATCTTCTAGAAGGTGGAAGAGGGTGGGACTGGGGAACAGCAACCTTGCTCCCCCAACCCCTGCAAGGCACCCACATCTCCCTCACCGACAGATGAAGGGCAGGGTCAGTGCGCAGGCTACACGGTCCTCGGGACTCCCAGAGAGCAGCAGGTGAGTGAGGGCACCCACTCCAAAGGGCGATTCAGCCTGCACGGTCAGGTTCTGCAGCAGCATTTCACCTGCAGGGATGGGCAGAGCAGGTCAGGTTGGGAGCTGGTGTCCAAGACTGGGGTGGGACAGACAAGACAGGCCTCTGGGCCCCTGAAAGGAAGGAAGGTGTAAACTCAGGGCAAGGAAGAGGGGGATGACCGCAGGCTCGGGAGGGATGAGGTCCAGACACTAGGAGCTGGAGGTCAAGGACAAGAACAGGAAGTCGGATGGTCAGAGAGGGAGGCTGGGCCCTCAAGGCCTGAAACAGGGCACAGAGGACAGGGCCATCCCTAGCAGGGTTGGAAGGGGTGGTGGGGCCTAGGAGGGCATGCTCCCTGAGCCTGGGTTCACAATCAGTGAGCCCAGTGGGAAGACAGGATAATGCGGAGCCAAGAAGAGACTGGATAGGGAGATGCAGACAGGCATAATTCTAACACGTTGGGGCCAAGTCTGGTGCCAGGGTCTCTGGACCCCAAGGCTCGTGTAAAAGTTGGAACTCTGTGTGCAGCCCCGATAGAACAAGAGGGAGTCCCTCCCGCCACCACCTAGCGGCTGAGGTTGTTTAAAGGTGAGCTGAGGGCAGCGGGAGCGGGTGAGCCTCAGGGTGCAGGGAAGGCAGAATGGGGTAGGGGCCTCGCATGTGGGCGGAAAGGCGCTCAGGGACCCACCCAGCTCCCGGTGCTGGTGCTGGTGCTGGCTGCGACGAGCAGGCCGGGTCCTCACGGCCGGCCAGTCGTC